CATTGTTGCTATAGTGTGTCACTTCTCATTGTTTCTCTGATCATTTGTATCATAATTAGTTGTTGTTTTTTCTTAACACTTTGGATGAATCTGCGAAGTGCGTGTGTGTGTGTGTGTGTGTGTGTGTGTGTGTGTTGGGGGGGGGGGTTAGGTCATTCACAGGGATAGTAAAACAATAAAAGGTTGAGATATGTTTATGAGTGCCCGAATCATTTTCCTTGCTAAGTATTCCGAGACCAACACCTAAGGTTGTGATGACGCATATCGGGAATTACAGCTGTCAGTGCGACCAGTATACGAGTGGATTTGATGACAAAGGTATTATAATTGCAAAAACAAACGCTTACTACAGCCTTTGGATTACATTGTTATTCTCCAATTAATAGCACATTTCTGAGTGTGTCAAGACAAAACCGATGGAGAGAGAACCGTAACCATCACGATTTTGCCGAAGTGGCTCTACGTATGACAATTTCTATTAAAACATTTCCCTGTGTTTAAGAAAATAAGGGTCATATCGATGTTAAAGTCAATACCAAGGTCTCGTGCATTCAATTATCTCGAAAGTCTCAGCAAGGACTGACAGTGCGGGTGACAGTGCATCGTTCTGGTCCCAGCGAGAGAGACCGAGCAAAACTGCCCTTCAGTCCAAGGTGCTTGCGTAGAAGATAATCTCCACAAGGAATAGAAGAATAGACAGGACGATGCCGACCGCCCAGAGAATGAGGACGCCGCTCACGATGACGATTCCCAGCGGTTCCTTTTCCTTTTGAACTTGTATGTCAGAACGGCACTTAGGCGGAGGATAGGTGATGAGGGCGCTGCTCAGCGCAATCAGTAGTCTGAGGAAAGAAATGAGGGTAGACGGAATCTCATGCGTATGAAACCGTAAATATTTATTGTGGTTTTGTAATTCGAATTTAAAGGCAATTCGCTGAAACGCTTGAAGTAGACTTTAATTTTTACCATTTTATTTACTTGCTTAATACTGAGACAATGATTGAAGTATGGCCATGAGTTGCATGGAGTGTTACTGGAAGAGAGAATACAGACTTGAAAAATAGATTAGGTAGTTATAACATGGGTATGCCATTCGAACATTTTCTTCAGCCATTATTTCTCCCGAATCAGTTTCCTTTACCCTCATGCACTGTTTACACACACACACACACACACACACACACACACACACACACACACACACACACACACACACACACACTGCTCGCTAATTTTGTTATGCATGGCTTCTATTTATATGTAGATTTCACTATTCTTATGGAAAACGACATAGCTTGCCTGCTGTACACCTATGGGCCGTGAAATTTATAGAGCTGACTTATAAAATGCAATAAATTCTGAACGTGAAGGATATAAAGAAAATAATTTTGTGGGCTAGACCTGTTTTTTTTGTCATGTTCAGTGGGTCGCGACATAACAATAATGATAATAATATTATCAATAATAATAATAATAATAATAATAATAATGAAGATAATAATACTAATAGTAATAATGATGAAAATATTTTTATACATACACATGAACATAGGTCAACATAGGTCGAATTGGCTTAGTGACAGACAGCCAGAAGAAAATGTAGACTAAGAAATGGAACTAGCTTATGCAGCCGCAATACCATAACAACGATAGCAGTACATGGTATATTGTATGAATCCAGGTTTTAATTCGTGTGTCATAATAGTGTTTAGCAAGGGGATGGCTACGAACAAAACCAATACATTTACACTGCAAAAGAGGCACTAGGTTCGTGAGCAGGTTTGTTTGCTTAACTGACCACGTCTATCTGTGAATCTTTTTTTTTCTTCGAGTCCATGCGAATGACTCTGCATTTAAGAGTAGTCGTTACTGCACCTTACCAGCAGTATAACAGAGCAATCAATTTAAAATTCGACAGAGACATGGTGATTCTTTTATGCGAACGTTTTGAGAACCAATGTAATTCAAAGGCGCCATATTATCCTAAGTTGTAATACAATGACATTTTGACTTAGGAGTAAAAACATTTATATAATTTCATGTGTATATATATATATATATATATATATATATATATATATATATATATATATATATATATATAT